ACACACACACACACACACACACTGTTGACGGCAACAGCAACACAGTTTGTGTTGCTGCTTCAGATAGATCGCGACCTTTATCTGAAAAAAAACAGCAACAACAAATGTGTTGCTGCCCACACCAGTGCCGTGGGGCCACCAAAACCCAGCACAGGCCCTGGCGAAACGGGGCCATTTTTTATTATTATTTTTTTCATTCCTTCATTTTTCAGTTCACACAAAGCACAACGAAAAAAAAAAAACAAAAAACAGAACAAATCGAAGAAGACAAAGAACTGCCTACCAAAAACAAAAACAAAAAAAAAACAAAAAATCCAGCGGCCTAGCTCAGTTGGTAAGGCACGCAAGTGGCATTCAGGAGGTCTTGGGTTCAATCCCCATTGGCCTCATGTACCTTCCCGGGCAAGCTTGGCGCCCGCCACCTAGAGATATGCCGTTGGCCCCCCCAAGTGGCATTGAGCAGAGACTGCTGATGTTCACAGGGGGAGGGGACCGGAGGGGAGGCACAGTGACTGGCCCATCGCTTCTTCGGTCCTGATGCTACCGGCTGACCCCTGGCCAGTATCGCCCACCTGCTGTAGCAGGTATCGCACCTGCTGGTGGGTGCAGCTCCCGCATGTTCCCTCGTTGGAGGCTTGAGCAAGGATGTGGCTGCTACAGGGTTCCCCGTAATACTATAATGACAATAAAAAAGGCCTGAAAGGCCGTCCTGTCCAGATTTGACAGGTAATTGAATTGGTTGGATTAGCCTTTAAAAAAAAAAAAAAAAAAAAATCCTTCTTTTTTTCAATTAAAATTTAAAACCAGGAAGCAGGCCCGGCGACCCTCACATGAATGCTGCAACTGCACGGAGCTGAGAAAGGCACTCCCGGCCAGTCCCATCCCCAACCACAGCCATCTAGCCGCTGAGACCCCGGCCTCCCCCATGCCACAGGGCTCAATGTCGCGAAGATGAAAAAAAAAAGGAAAACCAAGCATGCCGAAGGGACAAAAAGAACAACCATCCTATAAAAAGCAACCTTATCCTTCTTTTTTTTTTCTTTTTTTTTTAACATCCGCTGAGACTGTTACCTGAGATGATATGAACATCATCAGGTACCATACCCCTGGGATGGCTCCTTTCTATTGGTGGGGAGCTGCACCTGCTGGAAAACGGGTCCAGCGTCTCCAAAAGTATATTGCAATGAGTGTATGATCAAAGAGATAGGAGAGCCTCTTCGGTCCTAGAGGGTCCACCAGATGCCACTTGTCAGCCAAGCTCCCTACCCATCAAAAATCTATTAGATCTTAGCATCATCTTACCCCTCCCTTATCTATTTCTCTTCTCCACCGTTTCCATTTTTTATTTTACTTTATTCCCAAAAATTATCGTTTTCGGGAAGAAAAAAAATGGGGTTGTAGGGTTTGAAAAACCCCACAACCCGCTTTYTTTTTTTTTTTTTTTTTCCCTTCCCATTGGTTTGTCGGGGAAAATTCCCCCAATATCGTGGCCACCCCCCAGCCACGGCCAAGGCCAAGGCCAGCCGCGGCTGCGGCCGTGAACTTGGTCATGCGTCGAGATCGACATAGGACAAAACCAAAAAAACAAGTCATGCTGGCGCTTCGGCAAAGCTCGGCGCACAGTTTTCCATCTAGGCAAAACGTGGCTCAGAGCTTTTTTTTTTTTTTTTTTTTTTTTTTTTTTATAGAACCGCCGGAGCTGGTGCTAGGGGTGATAGGAGCAGACACCACTATCACTCTCGGGGAGGCTCCATCTATTTGTGGGGAGCGGCACCTGGTGGAAAACGGGTCCAGTGTCCCTCAGCATCTTACCTGCTTGTTTGTACAGACATCTGATTGTACCGACCGCTAGCTGCGTGGTCCACCCTCAAAGAAGGAAATTTGGCAGATAGAGCTACACAACTACTGAGTAGCCTAAGTTGGTTGCCTACATGACAGCATTAGGGCCTTGTTAGACCCTCCTTGGAAAATCCTCAGGAATTAGGATGAAGTCCTTGGAATTTTTTTTGGTTTTCGGCATCGTTGTTACACCGCATCCTAATTCGATGGGTCCCAATGAAAACCCTTGGTGGTCTCCGGGGGCCAATTTCATACGCATACACGAGGCCACGGGGGTGGATATCCGTCATCATGCTGTGATGTCCGTGCGTCCTCAGGCATCGTCCAATGGCGGCGGCGTGGAGGCCTATCGGGCTGAAGAAAACAAAAGGACGCCAACATCCTGGTTCAAATTTCGAATTTCGATTATTCCGTTGTGACACATCTGTGCCTGAGGCGTCCTGGTGGTTGGACTGGAGACTGGGGCGAAACGTCTGCGCGGGGGAGTGATGGCGGCCATGGCTTAAAAGGCAGGCATTGGAACGTTGGGTGACGTAGCTTATATTCGTAACAGCTCTCTACTGCGATGTCGCCTTCGTGTTCCGCATGCTCTTCGGGCCGTCACAGCTAAGCGCGAACGTAATGCTTCCGCGAAACGTGGAGAGTGCGACCGCGGTCCCCATCGATGTGCAGAAGGTGCAGCGAGGGCGCGCAGTACCCCAGAGGAGGCCAAACAGATATCCCCCATCTCTAGGGTTAGGTGAAGGACAACCCTGGAAAGGAATGGGTCTCACTGAGGCTATCTGGAGACAGCGTAGCGATAACAAGTAGCGTTTGAAGTACAGGAAGTCTCACCACATCATGTGTCCTAAGAGGCAGGAATCAAAAGGGAAGAGCCAATACAAGTTCCAGCTACTTCTATTGCTGCTCTGAGTCTAGGTGGAGACTCTGCAGAGATAGATATATGTACACGTAGATCCTTTTTAAACTTGCGAGCACTGATGGCCAAGGCTGAGGCAGCCCCTCACTCAGCAAGTTGACCGGAAACTTTTTTTTTTTTTTTTTTTTTTTTTGAGAAAGACACCCCAGGGCATGCTAGGGACGCTGATAAGAGCAGACACCCCTGGCATTCCCGGGAGGCTCCATCCATTGGTGGGGAGCCACGCCTGCTGGAAACCGGGTCGAGCGTCCCTGAACATTAACCTTTTCCATAGCTGCCTGCCAACATTGATTACCCTGACACCAGGGGATCAACTGAGCAGGCAAGTAGATGAGCTTGAGGGGATTTTAACAAAGAGGCCTCTTCACCCTGCTGCTGGGCGCCCGACCAACCTGACTACCTGGTCCCTATTCTCCCCTCCATAGCAGCTTATTGTGAAACTAAGTCCTGACTCCTGGCTTCCACCCTTCACACTCCAAGAATCATCCATCCATCCCATACCACTGCATTCCTACTAGGCAATTCGATGGGGGGGGGAAGAAGTCGGGAAAATTCTCAGGGGGTTTCAATGGTATAGCTGTATCAGTCGGTAGTCCCTCACTATTTCCATCCTCCCCTGGCCCTCCCCGGAGGAAACTATAGTGTAGAGTTTCGCTGAGTGATTCCCTCGAGGACATGGGCAAAGGACCAATCAATCTTTGCAGTTCCCGCACTGCACAAAGAAACTAGAAAATCAACTGATCCTGTCAGACGTAGAAATAAACAAGAGTTGTTTAGATGCGTTAGCAGATAGTGGTTCAAGTAGGAGTTACATTTCGCATAAGGCGGTGCTTCCACAGGCCACACCCAAACCGGTCCTGCCCGGTTTGTAGAGGTGGCCACTTACCCTAGGCACTTACCATAGGCAACGATTGCTCCGCAAATGTTATGCAGCCCACACACTGACTGGCCTCAGTGTGCCATTCTAGAGTGGTCTGACCCAGCGCTCGCTATTTAGAACCCTGTTAGAACTCCAACTCCCATTTCCTCCTTCTCTCCTCTTCTGTATTACTTTTTAGTAGTAATACATACGAATGAGAAGTTGGAAGATCTAAAGAAGAAATGAACAGGCATATGCCGCGAGCCTTGTGCATGAGAGGCATGGTAAAGGGGGAGCTGCAAGAACAAATGAAAGGGATACCCCAAAGAAAGCAAACGTGAACACAATTAAGAAAGGGGTTTACATGCCTCTATTCTACCCCATGTTGTGTGTGCTATAGAGCCTAATAGAGGTGAAACTGTTTCATTGTTGGATTGTCTCAACTCAAGGGCTTTTGTTGTCTGTAATAGGATTGAATATGCTTTGATTTTGGATCTCCTCATCTGGGTGGAATAGGGCCTGTTGCGGTGAAAATTCAAAACACACACACACACACACACACACACACACACACACACACACACATGCACGCACACACACACATCGTGGCGTTTCCTTTCCCGTTGACATCCAAGCTCTAATGCCTTCATACTTCGCCTTCTTCGCTCCAACTCAGCCCGAGTTACGTCAATCATACACTGACTCGAACTACTTGATTGCCTCCATGCGAATGTGTCTGGATAACTACAGATCCCGCGATAGATCATGCATATGGCCGTCTGTATGTCCAGGAACATTCCAGTCGATTCCAGGTCAATTCCAGTACATTCAGCTACCATCTGGGTACATTCCAGGTTCATACCGGGTGCATTCCAGTTACGTGCTGGGTACATGATTCCAGGTATGTGCTCGGTACACGATTCTAGGTACATGCTGGGTACATGATTCTAGGTAAGCACCAAGTACATGATTCCAGGTACGTGTCAGGTATGTTCCAGGTACGGCTCGGTTACATGGTTTCAGGCACATGCCAGGTACATTCCAGGTACATGTTTGGTACAGGACTCCAGGTAGGTCTCAAGTACCTGTTCGGATCCCAGGTACGTGACAGGTACATTCCATGCTGACAAACTGGTTGGGGCAACCATGACAGGTTTCAGAGATAATCAACCAGCCACAAGGTTTGAAACACACAACAAGAAGGGATACAATGATATAGAAGAAATAAAATGAAGAGCAACGACTGCTGATAGGAGCTGGTTGTTAGTCAGTCTCTTCTTTCCACGCCCTTTCACAGGGGGAGTACTTGACAGACCGAGCGGGCCATCATGCTTGGGACCAACCAGGCAAAGCGAGCGGGTCCAGGTCCAGAATGTGGTGTACCTGGTGCTTGTTATGAGTGGAGAGATTGAGCAAAGACTTCACCACAAGCTCCTTGACGTCCACTTCTGTCGATTTCATCTGTTTGTGGAAAACACAGAAAAACATAATTTTCAGTTTGCGAAGACGACTGAAACACAGGTTGCAAGAGCAATAAAGTGGAATAAAATTGAATACATTACAATCTTGTGAACCTTTAATTGTCGGTCACAGAAAGCATAATGCATTCAAAAAAAAAAAAATCAGAATGCATGCCCATACCTGAACTCCAAAGGTGGAGCCATCAGCTACAAAGGGACTGGGCATTGAGGAAGCCCCAGACACATGTGAAGGGTAAGGGGACTACCTTCTTCCCCCGAACACAACATACGGTCATTATAGCTGTATGCATTTGGTGTATCTTTCAGTCTAAATGCAGCTATAGTGACCGTACATTGTATTCGGGGGAATAAGGCAGGCATGAAGAAGTAAATCTGGAGGGACCAAAGATGATGGAACAAATTGTCCAATTTGTACAAACAGAGATTAGAGCCCAATGGGCGGCAGTCATATCTAAACTACGTAATTACCAACAAAAAAAAGACATCCAAAAGGCAATCCAGAACTTTACTCTGGACTGGCTGGGGGGTACTGGGGAAAGGAACCTGGGGCATGTAATATGGCCAGGAGAAGGGGAGAGGGAGGAATCCTTCAAAAGGGACTTCTAGCTCATCTTCAAGGATTGGCTCACTCTTCATCCAAGAGCTACTCTCAAAGCTCCATTCTTTTTTGCAGATTCATTTTCCCCTTCCGAACTTGCCCTTGTAGAAATACAATGTTTTGGCTTGGAGGGGAGTTGATAAATTCAGGATAATCTTATGAGGAGCAATGGTAGCTAGTGCTGATTGTGATTTCTGGCGGTCCTAAGGGACTGAAGAGGCAAATGTGGCTCCTTGCTTAACTATGTTCATCAGTGAATGTTATCATGGGACGCTGGGCCCGGTTTCCAGCACGTGATGCTTTCCACTAATAGATCGGAGCCACCTACAAATATAGCTAGGGGTACATGCTCTTATAATTACCCCTAGCTGTGTTTCATGGGCGTTTTCTCTATTAAAAAAAAAAAAAAAAAAAAAAAAGATGAGAAGATGAGGATCATGAGGATGATGGTAGGCAATGCAGGCATTTCATTCGGGTCGTGGGGATGGTAGAAGGCAACGAAGATGGGGCAGTGAACTTTTAATGATGATGACGTGCCATATAAGGGTAATCCTGCCAACGAGGATGGAAAGGAAGGGGGCCAAGCATGAGGAGGGGCAAATCTTCCTTTGTTCTTTTTCTTCTTTTTTATTTTTGGGAGGGGCAAATCTTAATGTAAATGACGAGGTGATTGAATAGCAGAGAAAATCAGGAGCGAAAACGAAAAAGAAAAAAGAAAAATAGAGAGCGAAAAATGACCATGCGGGTTAGGGTGGGGGAGTAGTACAGGAGGAGTTAGGAAAACATGACACCAAGGCATATTGTACTTTTGAGGAGACATGTGGCGTGCCACGACGAGCGAAACACGCGCACAACAGAATCTGTCATGAGCGCGCGCACGTGTGTGTGTGTGTGTGTGTGTGTGTGTGTGTGTGTGTG